GGGGTGGGTTCAGAAGAATTTGATTTTTTTTTTGATTTTTTTTATGTCTCAAAAACCTGGCATTTTTACAGGTGTGTGTGTGTGTGTGTGTAGACTATCAACTGTAAAGTACCTCACACCAATCATATCTTATACATTGCATTAATAATGGCAAACGTGAGCTAGTTAAAGTGAAGTCCAACTATCATCTAAAATAGATAAAAGCAATAGTTCCCCACCATTGTAGAACAAAGGATAACCATTATAATTACACCTGCTAATGTAGTGTGATTTCCCCAACACCTGTAACATTTGCGGGACAGCTTTGTTACAGGAAAGGGAAAAACATTTACTGGCAGAAACAGACAAGACAAGACAAAAAGGGGACTGCTGTGTTTTGACAGCATGCCTCAAATGTGCAATTTTATTTTTCTGTTAAACAGAAAATAGGCTCAGGGCAATGACGCCTAAAGTATAGTAGCCAACAACAGGATTTTACCTCAGTTCAGAGCAGTCAGAATGAGAGGACTGCTTAATAGTTACTGCATTTTGCCCACTGCCTTATACAAGCTAGTAGAAAAACAAAACAAAAAACAAAACCCCACAACACTAACATTTTAACAGGAGCCATACCTCACCAAAGGTTCCAAAGTATTCCCTGATCTTCTCTTCACCTGCTTCTGGGTTCAGTCCCCCAACAAATATTTTCTTTATTGGGTCCTTTTTCATAGCCATTGCCTTTTTTGGATCAATTACTCTCCCATCCAGTCTGTGCTCCTTCTGTTCCAAAACCTGTCATAATGAGGAATCTCAGTGAGAGCACTCAGTTTCACACTTTTTTTTTTTGGCAAAAAATAAACTAGGATTTTACTCTTAGTAGAATACAAACCTTGTCAACACTAGAAGCATCCTTAAACAGAATAAAGCCAAACCCCCTAGATCGACCAGTATTAGAGTCCATCTTGATTGTGCAGTCAGTCACTTCACCAAACTTAGAAAAGTAATCTTTTAGGTCTTTCTTGCTTGTATCCCAACTGAGGCCGCCAACAAACATTTTCCTAGAATATTTTTAATTACAGTTTAGCAGAACATTACAATTCACACAAAAAAATAAAATAGATATCTCCCTCTCTCCATCCATGAAAAAGCAAATCGATCTACAAAACATTTAATATTTGGCACTTAGGATGTAGCTATACTTTTATGTTGTACAATTAGGCTTCTTAAAATAAAAATTTGACTAAGGGTCAGAGTTAATGGGCTTGTGTCAGCTGGAAGACCACTTGCTTCCAGGTGTATTCTGCTTGCATTTTAGAAACTTGAGATTTAGAATGAATGGGCAGGTGCATTTAACCCAAACTTATCAGCCCGCTTCAAGCTGCTTCTGCACCGACTTTCACAAAGAATAAAGTTCTGACAAGAGCAGCCAACACATACCACAAATCCTTGCCGTTTATAAACTGAAGTGTGGACAGACGCATTTGAAGCAATATGTTAAGGAAGAAAGGACACGTACTGGGAAAGTGAGTACTATGGACCCCCTAGATCGGTCTCAAAGTACCGGCCCGCGAGCCGGTACTAAGTGGCCCGCAGCCAGGTGACAAGTCAGGTACGCGGTCACGGACCGCATACCTGACTTGCGGGAGCAGCTACGCGGTCTGCATCTGTCTATCGGATGCAAATCGCAGAGGGTTTTTTTTTGTGTGTACGGGGGGGGGAAGAGAGAGTGTGTTATTTTATATGTGCAGGGGTAGTTTATGTGTAAGGGGGGGGTGTATTAGGCTACATTCACACCTGTATCTTTAGGTGCAATTAGGAATTCTTGCATCAGAAACTTGTATTGTCCCACAGCAGGAATGCCTAATCTGGTGTTTACAAGCGGCAACCATCACCCATTCAAGTTGATCAGATGACATCAGCTTGCATATAGGGCTGCAAAACTAATCGACATAATCGATTATAATCGATTGAAAAAGGTGTAAACTTTTTGATTCATCGACTAATCGGCTTCCGATTGAGTGGCCCTGTACGCGGCTCCACACATGCTGCGCGCCACACCTCCTCCCCACCTCACGCTCGCCACTGCCAGATCCTGCTGCCCGCATCCACGCTCCACACATCGCACCTCCTCCCCACCTCACACTCGCCGCTGCCAGACCCGCCCGCATCCACTCTCCACACCTCCTCCCCGCCTCACACTCACCGCCTGCCCAAATCCACGATCGGCACAGGAATGCGGGGAGAAAAAGTAAGGAGGAGCAGGTGTGGGCGGATGACAGCTGCAGATACAGGCCCGATCTCAGAAACAAGTTGCTGGAAGCCTGCACTTTCCCACACATGGTGCTCTATAATGTCGTGAAAGCTCCTGCCAAAGGAAGCCAGAAGCCAGAACTGACAGGAGCTGCTCTGCTCTCAAATTTCCACTCGCCCACACTTTTTTACTTCCACGGCTCCAAGCTTGCTCCTGTGATGGACTGCAATCTCAATACAAACTAGTAGTCCCATCATGAGCCATTTTTTAAAATTTATTTTTAATTTTTTTATCCGATTAATCGAACTTAATAATTGGCTAACTAATCGATTCTGAAAATAGTCGTTAGCTGCAGCTCTACTTGCATAGCGCATGTAAAGATATGGGATATGATTACATTTGGTTAGGAGTCACTCTCCCTGGACACAATCGATTGTGCAACCAGGGAGAAAGGGCCTTATTGTGTGTGTTTTGGGGTCTGTAGTACGATAGCATATATACATTTTTTTTATTGTGATGTTTGCTCAGGTAAGATTGGAAAAGGGGAGAGAGGGAGATGCCAATTGGCAAAAAAAAGGTCCACTCCTTCTCCAGTCCCTCAGTCATCACGAGAACCGAACGAAACCTGGAGGTGGGGGGCCAGCAAAAAAGACATACGAACACCACCAAAAACATTAACACAACAAGCATCAATGGGTGGGCAGTTGCTGTACTGGAAAAATATGGGAAATAGTTACCGGTAAGCTCTTAACTGTGGATTTCCCATTAACATCTTCGAGGACAGCATCATGAGAGGATAAACAAGGACTTTTCTAATCTAGGGTGGGACCACATCTTCAAGTACCTCACACCCAAATGCTTGATCTCCTGCAGAATTGAGATCTAGGCGATATTTCACAAAAGTAGAGAAGCTCGACCATGTGGCAGCTTTGCACATTTGTTCCGGGGTAGCACCAGCTCTTTTGGCTCAAGAAGCTTCTAAGGCTCTGGTTGAATGTGCATTCACGAAGGAGGCGGCATCTTCAGTACATTGTAGGCTTCCACAATAGACTTGTCTTAACCACCTGGCTGAGGATTTAGAAGCCTGCTCACCCCTAGATTTACCAGAAAACAGCATAATGCATTTGATTTCCTAAATACTTTAGACATCTGAAGGTAATGTAGCAGGCAACACCTAACATCTAAAAGGCCAATTCTTTACAATTAGTTGGATTAGAACAAAAACGTAGGCACGATAATCTCCTGCAGTCTGTGGAAAGTAGAGGACACTTTTGGTAAAAAGGCAGGGTCTGTCCGTAAGATCACCCGATCCTCAAAAATCAATACGAAAGGCTGCCTAATGGAGAGCTTGAAGCTCACTTATTCTACGGGCAGAGGTAATAGCAACCAAAAATATTATTTCTAAAAAGGTAAGATTCTTTTGTGAAATATCACCTAGATCTCAATTCCGCAGGGTTCAAAAAGAGGACCTGTGAGACCCTGCAATACTGTAGACAAATCCCATTGGGGAATGGCTTGAACAGCAAAAGGTCTGACTCTTGAGAGAATTAAAAGAATCTAGCTATAAACTGATCTTCAGCCAAGGATACCTGAAAAAACTGAGTGCTGACACCTGTATCTTCAGTATACCAAGTGCCAATCCTTCATCAGCCCCTTCCTGGAGGAAATCCAAAATGGCTGGAACGTCAAGAGTCCCTGTTAAACCTGCCTTTCCAGGAGTTAAACGTATTCCATAGTTTGCTGTAACTCTTCCTAGTTACTGGCTTACGGCTATGTAGAAGAGTAGAAATGACTTTACTAGACAGACCTCTGCTTTTAGAATGTCTCCTTCAGATAGAAGGCTGTTAGTGTGAATTTGAACACTTCCGGATGCAGGACCGGGCCCTGCGATATTAAATCCGGCCTGCAAGGAAGAGTCCAAAGTGAGCGATCCGTGAGGGAGAGCAGGAGTAAACCAAACCCTCTTTAGCTAAAAAGGCGCAATTAGAATGAGTTTAGTCTCCTCCAGAATAAACTTCTGAAGGACTCTTGGAATAAGATAGATTGGAGGAAAAGTAACACAACACAAAAAAAAAAAAAAATCCACTATGATGACGACTGAGGTAATCTGCCGGGAGAGTGTAGGTTCTGTTTAAGTGAACTCTTGCCAAGGAAGCCAAATTCACTTCCGCCCAGGAAAAGATTTCCTTGGCCAAGCACTGAAGAGGAACACTTCTTCTGCCTCCCTGTTTAGATAGATGACCGATGTTATGTTGTCTGAGAATACTAATAGATGACTGGGGAACTGGAGAAGGGGCGGACCTTTCAAAGCTAGTGGGTGACATGTTTCCTGTGTTTGGGGAGGAGATTCCATCTCTCATGATTCTGTGCTGGAAGACGTTAATTGGAAAACCACCACTATCCTAATACACCATTACTTAAAGGGTGGGAATCAGGCTGCCCTGGAAGACTACCGAAAAAGGAGTTAGCAGTAAGTCCAACTCTGGTTTTCCCCAGACGTCTTCCAGAACAGCCCTTGAGATTATCAAAGAGCACTTGCCAGATTAGGGGGGAGGACAACAGCCTGCAACAACCTTCCTTCCAAATGCCTGGTCATGGCTGGGAAGGAGATCTAGGCGATATTGTCTCATGACTGTTGAGGCTGGTCCACGTGGCTGCCTTGCAAATTCTCTGGCGCAGCTCTTGCCCTTTCTGCCAAGGAGTGAGCGTTACAAAGGGGGTGGGGGTACACCCCTTTAGATTTGTATACCTATAAAATTTCCAATTTAAATGAGACCGAGGCGGCAAGTGATTTCCACTCATCCTTATAGTTAGGGCCGACCTGTGACAAAAGCGGTCACAGGTCAGTCCTATTGATCAGGAAGTGAGCGAAAACATACTGTCACTCGCTCACTTTCCGATAATTTCCCTGCACAGAGCGGTGACCGTCAGTCACCGCTCCCCTCCAGTGCTGAGTGGAGAAACGAACGGGGGAGGGGGCAAGCACAGCTGGCTCTGCATTTAGATAGGCAGAGCCAGCTGCCACTCATGCAACTGGGTGGATCCAGACAGTATTGTCAGCATCCATTCTGGCTGCGGCACTCTCAGTATACTGTGGGTAATAGCCCGCTATATACAGTGAGCTTTGGGTCACAGGAGGAGATTAGTAGTACATGTCTTCCAGTGATCCTAAAGAGAACTATGGGGGGAAAAAAACACTTAGCCCATAGTTCTTTTAATCCACCTTGCTATTGTTGTCTTAGACACCTGCTTACCTCAGAATTTTCCTGAAAACAGAATAAGGCTGACATAACTTTGAAAAAGTATTTCCTTAGCATTTGCTGGTTTGCTACAAAATGTTTGCATAATAATGTCCTGTGATCTATGAAAAGTAAAATACATTTTTGCTGAAAAAGCAAAAAAACAAACAACTACACACCAGGATCTGTTTTGAGGACCATTCTATCCTCAAATATAGCCAAGAATGGGTCTTTACATGACAGTGCTTGTATTGTGCAGGCACTCCATGGTGAAATAATAGCAATAGGGCAGTATTAATTGTATGAAACTTGATGAAAGCTTCCGATAAAGGTTCAAAACGGTAGTTTGTAATACCAGGAACAAGTCCCACTTCGTAAGCGCTTTAACCACTACAAGCCTCATCCTTGATCAGTATAGATAAATGCACCACGCTAAATAAATGACGTATGAATAAGTAAAGCAAAATGCTGAAAATGCAGTAATCCAATCCGTGTAACAATCACACACACCTTCCAATAGTGCTCCAGTTGAACAATCCTTTAAAAGGTTTCCTCCAAGATGCTTCGCAAGAAGATTCCCATACCCAAGGAGAAGACTCCATTGGTGAAGTACATAAAACCCAAGTTATTAAAAAAGGTAATAAAAACACTTAAAAGATGGCCACAGTGTACAAGCAAACAGCGATCAAACCATCAAACAATTCTTAGGATTGGAACTGGATCCGATGACTTACACTACCTGTAGGACAACCTCAGTGCGTGCCTAACCTTTACGGGCACGTTTCATCAATAGTCTAGGAAAGGCTGACATACTGGAGGTGTCACACACACACACATTTAGGGATGCACCGATACCGGTATTTTGGCACCAAATACGAGTACCGATAATTTTTTTTACCAATTACCGAGTAACACAAGTCCAATTCAGGAAGCCAGGTGGCATGTAATGACTCACCACCTGGCTTCCTGATTAGCCGGGCAGCGTGTAAAGAGTCGCCACCCGGCTTCCCGATTAACAAAAAAGTCCCCTCTTACCTTAGTATGTGCAGCCTGTCATCCCCCGGGGCCTCTCCAGCGAGAACGCGGCCTTCGTCCGGTACCCAGCCGGAGCAGTCTAGCTGGCCAATCAGGAAGCCGGGCGCCATGTAATGACGTGACGCCCTGCTTTCCAATTGGCCGGCTCCATGCTCTTGTCATGAGATGACGAGGGAGCATGAAGCCAGCTTCCCGGCCAATCAGAAAGCAGGGCGTCGCATCATTAGACGGCGCCTGGCACGGGCTGGGTACCGGACGAAGGCCGCATTCGCGCTGGAGAGGCCCCGGGGGATGACAGGCTACACATACTAAGGTAACTTTACCTCACGAGGCCAGCTTCCGGTCAATCCCGAAACCGGGCAGCGTGTAATGATGCGCTGCCCGGCTTCCTGATACCGGAAGTACTCGCCCAAATACTAAAAATTATCTGACAATCTCTAAAAATATGTCAAATTTGGGAAAAGACTTCAATCGCTATATAAAAACATAATACATGACAATAAAAGTGTAAATAATGAGATTTGTAAACCGTGATCGGATGGACCATACCACTAATCACTATAAAACAAATATTAGTGAATAGTGATAGATGCAAGTAGTTATACATTTCAATTTAAATAAAATCTCACACACATACATTAGAGATGCACCGATATATCGGCAGCCAAAACACATTGGACGAAAATTGTACTTTTGGCTAAATGCCGAAAGTGCCATTTTCCTGCCGATACATTGGCGCATCCCAGCAGTGAGGAGAGAAAGTGACAGCCAGCCGAGCGCTGCGTGAGGAGCAATGTGAGCGGCCGGTGTCTGACCTCACACACCGCTCAGCCGCCTATCACAGTCTGGCAGAGCGGTGCGACGGTCCTGAAGTAGTTAATGGACATTCATTCTTTTTGCATAGCTCTCATCCCTGGCATAGGTTAGTTACTAAAGTCAGAGATAGAGCTTGTGCAGGAAGGAAAACATTACCGAGCAAACATCTCATCTGGACTCCTCTCACCAGACTCCTTTTCTGGCGGAATCAGATTGGCTGCACGCTTGAATCCGCAACCTGACGCAGATTCATACGTACAAGCAGATTTTTAAAAAATGTTAATCTCGCCATGCTCAATGCAGGAGAGGAAATTGCAAGACACACGCCATGCAAAGCTCCGCCGCTTTCCAGCTCCATGTGCAGGATTATTTGTGTTTGGTGCTCGCAGCCCGCCCGGGAACACATAGTGGGCTTTTCTCAAATTTGACATAGAATGTGGAAACTAAGTAAGCAAAATTTGCCTATAAAGAAATTAAAAGATTACCAGTATGGAAATGTGTTAAAAATTTGTTTTAGCTGCCCATTCAATTTTGTAGTACAGAAATCCATGCACAATGCCACTCATTTTGGAGGAACACCCTTAAAACACTGCACAGTAGCATCAAACTAATGCGCTGCTACACCACACACATTGGAAGTGTTGCATGTTAAAGTCCCGAATATCAGACATGCATTTGCTACCAGCACACTCAAAATGAATGGATTCCATAATGCAGTTGCGTTAGAGAACTATGGGGTTAAGGCTTCTCCCCATAGTTCTCCTTAGGGAACACAAACTAGCATCCTCCCTTCACCCTAGGCTCAGTATACCGCGAGCTGCTGTTCCGGTATACTGAGACGCCGCAGCGGATCCCAACAATTATGCCGGGATCCGCCCAGCTGCGTGACTGACAGCTGGCTCTGCCTATCTAGAGGCAGAGTCAGCTGTACCCGCCCCCTCCGTTCCGCCAGTCAGCGCTGGCGGATCAGAGCGGGGAATCCAGCCCCTCCCGTGACAGGATCAAGAGGTGAGCGAACGCCAGTAAGTGTTCGCTCACCTCCCGATCTACTGAGCTGACCTGTGAGTCTCATTGTCACAGGTCAGCTAGAACTATGAGGTGAGTGAAAAGCACTCACCTCATAGTTCTCCTTTAATTGCAACACTTTAACTGAATGGGCCAAAAACCATACCAAATGCAAGACCTAAAGCTTTTTTTTTTTTTTTTTTAAACCAGGCATATGTTATCATCCAGGACAAGCATTTAAAAATCACTAGTTATGTACTCCCTGTGCATTTCACGTTTCAACGTGTTCATCTATTGTAAAAGGCAAAAAAAAGATACAATAGATGCAACCCCAAATTGCCTCAACACTCCTGTACTAATGGAAAAAGGAGCAGAAAAAGAGTGGGGGTTAGAGGGGAGAACAGTATTTTGGGGATGGCAGACAACAGAAACCTACAGAAAAACAGACTGGAAAGAAAACAGGTGCTGTTGGATATTAAAAGTTGAGGGCAAAAATCTGAATTCAGATACAATACAGTCAGTGTACACAATAGAGAAGCAATGAAATACCATTTTTAACTTCAAACCTTTTTTTCCCCTAAACTAGATACCATTTTGTGACACTGCAAGCATTTAAATCACAAGAAATAATGATTAAGAAAATTGGAAGAGATTGAGTATGCACTGTTTAACACATCAAAACTCCCAGTAAAACAGTGTGCCCCCACTAAACCAAACAAATATGCAGCAAGCGCTACAACTTTAAACCCTCTCAAAAGGCCGAGAGACCCTCCCTGCACCAGATGGCGCCAACAAAAGCCTGCAGAACAAAGAACTAGCAAAACATTTAGTGTCCGCTGTAGTTTTGATTAAGACATAAAGACGTTTAAAAAAAAAAAAAAGAAAATGACTTACACTCCTTCAGTTAAAGGGGAAGAAATTTCAGCTACGCACCCTGCGTCCTCCTCCGCTTTACTCGCATTGATTTGATCGCCTTCAGATCCATTCTGGCCTCCTTGAGGCGCAGAGGGTTTCACTTCCGCGACCTCGGCGTCTCCGGCATCATGGCCATTCTCGGAAGTCTCCACACACTGCTGCTCAGCATCAGACATGTTCAAGAGTCAAGTATATTTACGCCTGCAATACACAAAACAAACCTAAGAAAAAAAACACACACACACCACAGTAGCTGAACGTATGTACTATACGTCTGCAAACAACCCAAATCATGCGCCACAAAATGCCCTCTTCCATGCGTTGATCACAAAACCGATATTACAAATCACTGTACAAAACAAGCGTCGCTTACTAAATGCATTGCATCTGGCACTAACACCCCCCCCCATAACACTCCTCCCCAATAAAATTAACTACAATAAATGTCAATCTCCACTTGCTCTCACGCACCGCCACAACCGTTCAATTTCTTCAAAATGGACTCTACCGACAATGCAAACTCGTGGCTACCTTTATAGAGCCGGAAAGTTGCACACCGAAATATACGGAACCACTATTGGCTGTTGGAGTACGTCTTTTCTATTCACTGGAGTTTATCATTGGATGAGCTGTCAAAGAGCTCAAACCTCTAGCATCGCGAGAATTTACTAGCTCCTGATTCGCGGCCTTGGTTTCTGAATTCATTTTTCTTTTTTTTTGCAGTATACTGGCGTGCATTCTGGACTATTGATTGTTATATTAATACCGTGAAATAAGATAACATCTTACAAGAGAAAACAGCTCATGTTAAAAAGAGCTCGTCCCGTTTCATATAATTGCCTGCAGAGATGAAAAGCCTGGATTTTGACGTCACAAATATAAAATGGCTTCGTGAGCAAACTGGAGCAACAAATTCATTTGAATAACATATGCCGGGGAAGATGCTTTAACTAAGCAACTAAGTCTGTAGTAGTAGGGTTTTGAACTTCAATGGCTTGACAATCTCCTTCTTTCATTAGGATTACTATTTTTTTTTCTTAACTCTAAACATTCCTTTGTAACAAAAAAAGGCAGCCAACCAGAACATGTAACACAAGTCAGAATGCAAAAACCTAAAACAACATTAAACATATTTGTTCTTTTCCTAAATGTTTTATTCTGTACAAAAAAAAAATGGTAGTTACAGTTATTGTTCCATTTGTTTTAATTGTGCAACACATTTGTGTTATGATAAAAGAAAAAAAATCAAGATTATGAACACATTTCTGTTAACTTTTTAAGATGCACTACTGATTTAAAAGTGAATACATCAAATACATATATCTTTATTCGTTATAGAGCATCAGAGTATGGGCCCGTTCACTCATCTAGCAGTGACCTACGTTGTACTGCAAATGTATCAACGCAGGTCACCGCAAAACAATTGTTTTCTATGTGTCCCATTCACACCACAACATTGGTGTGATGGGCAGGGTGCTGCGATAAAATGCAAACTTACGGCATTTATCGCACCTCACTGGTTCTCACCACAGGTTGCTGCACGACAGTACAGCGGACCCCACTGCCATGCGGAGACATGAATGGAGTGTACACATTGTACACGCCACAAAGATTTTAAAAAAAAAAGTCAACAGGGACAGCTGTGGTATTGTGCGTTTACAACACACACTACCGGAGCTGTCACAATGCACTAGCCCATATATTGCATCAGAGTATCTTGAAATATAAGGCTCCATTCACACCTGAGCATTTTGCATAAAGTATGCTGATTCAGCCGAAATACGCTCCATGTGTACCCTATTCCATCAGCAGAAGTTGATCATTAGATCAGCTATTGCCGAAGGAACATGTTGGATAATCATTGGCCGAAACGTGCTAGCAGCCAATTACCGTGTTTCCCCGAAAGTAAGACCTACCCCGAAAATAAGACCTAGCACTATCTTCGGGGATTTCTGTAATATAAGACCTACCCCGAAAATAAGACCTAGTTCGGGGTAGGTCTTATATTACAGACATCCCTGAAGATAGCGCTAGGTCTTACCTTCGGGGTAGCTGCACATGTAATTCAATTTTACATGTGAAGACCGGCAGCTCCCTCCCGCCCCCTCGTCCGCCAACCTCCCTCGTCCAGCCCACCTGTCTGTTGCTCTCTGTGGCATCAGAGCGGAGAGGCAGCTCTCTCCCGTCCCCCTGCTAGACACGCCCCCCGCACGCATGCCCGCCCCCTCGCCCGCCCACCTGTCTGTATATCTATGGAATTGCATCAAAGCGGAGAGGCAGCTCCTGGTCTTATTTTCGGGGAAACACGGTAGCTGCTGGCTGCTGTCAGAATACAATGTAAACAGCGTGGGATTTGTCCTTTCATGTTGTTTAGCGTGGATATAGGAATCTATTTTCTTAATTCAGCCCACAGGTGAATCGTGTTAGGGATGCACCGATACTTTTCAGATACCAATGCAGAAATTTGGCATTTTCATGAGAACTACCAGGGTTGCAGCGGTTGCAGCTGGGACCTGACTCTGGCACTCCACCACTGTCCTGAAATCATTAGTCTGTAGTGTTTTAGAAAAACACTACAGACAATAAACACAAATGTATCAGTACTTGTAAGTACTTGGGCAAGTATCAGTACTTGTACTTGCAAAAATGGTATCGGTGCACACCAGGCCTACCTGGTCCGGGATTATGTGGATCTCAGCTTCAGATAAGGTGAGTTTCAATTACAGTTGCAAGGAAATGAATACAGTCTCTCATATAGGCAAATATAACTTGGTACTTGCTGTTTGGTAGAGGTTGGTCCCACAGTGACACCCAGTGGCTGTTGGAGAAGTAGCCTGTACTGTTCTCTGATGGCTGAGTAGGATTTAGTCCCACAGTGCCACCCAGTGGCTGAAGGAGGAGTGGCCCGCAAGTCTCTTCCCACACAATGGGAAACTGAGCTGCCTAGGGAGTCCAAGGCAATGCTGCCTAAGCCAGAGGAGAGGTGAGGGAAAGAGGCTGCTGAGGCCAGTGAGAAGGGGCACTCGTCCGGCCCAATACTGCTAGGCCCAGTGTGGAGCCGCGGAGGTACTTGCCTGGCGTCACACACACTTGCACGAACGCCAGGCATGTGAACTCAGCGGCTTAAGAAAAGGAAGGGGAAGGATCCGGCTGACGTCTCTTCTGATGACGTCGCGGGATGCCGACAGAGCCGTGGGAAGCGCCGCACCCGAGGGACGGGTAAGTTCAGTACATGCATCCCTTTATTTAAATTTATAAAAACCAAATCATACCTTAAAAACAGATGTACAAATCCTAGGAGCTCCATGTGCTCCTTACAAATGACAGCTGCCTCCTAACTCTTCTCTAGTCTAGTCTAGTCTTGGAGCTCGAAAAGTATCTGTACTTGTACCGAGTACGGTACTTGGTATCGGTGCATCCCTAGTAGTGCTACAATGCTCAGCAGGAGGAATCCCATTGTTTTCAATGTTCCCTGTTCAAACTTGAGTATTGTAACAAAATGCTTGTAGCTCGAAAAGGTACACAAACTTCTTTTGTCAAGCCTTTTAGCCCAAATAGACTTCAATAGGAGCACCTAGAAAACACAAGTAATTCATATTTGTAAGCTTTTTTTGCCTAGCAACTAGTTTTTCATACAAATAAAATGTTAGAAAAACGCTCGTCTGAAATGTGTGCAAAAATGCCTGTACAAACGGTCACAAAGAGCCCCAAAAAAACACCAAAAGAAGCTCAGCTCAAGTGTGAATGGGACCTAAACCAGAGTTAGGGCCCATTCACACCAGTGGGCACACGTTATACTCTATATAACTCATATATGCTGGTGTGAGCTGTAAAGTATTGTTTACCTTTTTTTTTTTCTTACTTTGTGAAAATGTCACAAAATGACAATTTATTTAACTTTACGCACCACAGTGTAAATAGTGATGAGCTGCTGGGTTACATTTGCGGGCCCTTCTTTAACCTCAGAAAATCCACAAAGTGCAAACTTTAATTTGAACCCCACTGAAATCTATGTGGGAGTGTAGTTTAAAAGTTAATTCTTGGCATTTTCAAAGCTAATAGGATAGGAATTGTCAAATGGCATAAGGAGATGGGCCCAGCCATGGGGGGCATGAATCCGTGCAAAAAAAAAAATCTGAGGGCGCTATAGAAATCCTGTATAAAAATAATAATACCCAACCATAGAACATAAGCAAAACATAACCATTAGGAACACAGCCAAAACAGCAAAGTCAGATATAAAAGCACCATAGAATTAAATAAGAACAGTATTGTTACAATTAATCCAAATGAACCTAATATTTAGGTATGCGTAATGAGAGCAGAATTAGTGAATAGGTAACCTGATTATAGGCAACATTACCTGGCTTTTTCCAACTTAAAGTCTTTTTTACAGATAGAAAAATGCAAAAGAATCTCAGGAGAATGTGAGAAAAAAGTTGGAAAAGCAGTGAGATAGACAAAAGTATTCAAAATATAGAGAGGGGGAAAAGTAAAGAAAGAAAAAAGGGGGGGGGGGGGGGG